GTAACATGTAATAATCCTGATGAATATTTGTAGAAATTTCCTTGGGCCATGTGAGTTATTTTTCGTCCATGCAAATTACATTATAGAATTAAAAGGAATTATGTCAAAACGTAAACTTTGTTTGATTTTTACCTTTTCACTCATTATATTTCTCTTGGATTGGCATAATATCACATTAAGCAAATCATTGCGAATATAACGAAAAGAAATAAATAGTATCCAAAGATATTAATGTATTTGAAGGAAATCTCTATATACTTCCTTGTTACATATTCTTGTTTTTCGAACAGTAAGCTATATTCATTTCAAATCATTGAAAAATAAATATACATGTACATACAAAAGAATATCATTAGGCCTAAGTAAATATTTGATATTTTTTAAAAACAATAAAAACCTTTTCGATACAATGTGTAATCCCCGTTATATATTTCTCTACGAACGTTGTCCGGGTGCATTTTATCTTTATACATATTATGAAACTGACATTTCTCAGAAATAGCCTGCACAAGTTCTTCACTTGGGTCGAGCCCCAAAAATTTCGCCAATCGTTTTATTTCTTCTACGTTGTTCTGCAAAAAATCAATAAATAATATACCAATTGTCGGGATATCAAATGAAAATTAGTCAGAAAGTGTAGCCTTGCCTGGTTTATACTGGTGGTAAAGGTTAATCACCTGGCTTATACTGGTGGTAAAGGCTTATTGCCTGGTTTCACCTGGCTTATACTGGTGGTAAAGGTTAATCACCTGGCATATACTGGTGGCAAATGATTGTCACCTGGCTTATACTGGTGGCAAATGTTAATCACCTGGCTTATACTGGTGGCAAAGGCTAGTCACCTGGCTTATACTGGTGGCAAAGGCTAATCACCTGGCTTATACTGGTGGTAAAGGTTAATCACCTGGCTTATACTGGTGGTAAAGGCTAGTCACCTGGCATATACTGGTGGTAAAGGCTAGTCACCTGGCTTATACTGGTGGTAAAGGTTAATCACCTGGCTTATACTGGTGGTAAAGGCTAGTCACCTGGCATATACTGGTGGTAAAGGTTAATCACCTGGCATATACTGGTGGCAAAGGTTAATCACCTGGCATATACTGGTGGCAAAGGATAATCACCTGGCTTATACTGGTGGTAAAGGCTAGTCACCTGGCTTATACTGGTGGTAAAGGTTAATCACCTGGCTTATACTGGTGGTAAAGGTTAATCACCTGGCTTATACTGGTGATAAAGGTTAATCACCTGGCTTATACTGGTGGTAAAGGTTAATCACCTGGCTTATACTGGTGGTAAAGGCTAGTCACCTGGCTTATACTGGTGGCAAAGGTTAATCACCTGGCTTATACTGGTGGTAAAGGCTAGTCACCTGGCATATACTGGTGGCAAAGGTTAATCACCTGGCATATACTGGTGGTAAAGGCTAATCACCTGGCTTATACTGGTGGCAAAGGTTAATCACCTGGCTTATAATGGTGGCAAATGACAATCACCTGGCTTATTCTTGTGGCAAATGATAATCACTTGGCTTATTCTTGTGGCAAAGGTTAATCACCTGGCTTATAATGGTGGCAAATGATAATCACCTGGCTTATACTGGTGGTAAAGGCTAATCACTTGGCTTCTACTGGTGGCAAAGGCCAATCACTTATGATGCCAGCATCGAAAGAATTTAAGGCAAATGGTTTAAAAAGATGTGCATCATTAGCATATACTTCATAAAGATATCTTTAGCACGATTCAAGCAATAACTTAAAAATGTTTTGGGAACACGACCGAATAAATCTTGAATGTAAGCAACAAAAAACAATCAATGCAACAAAATGATTAACTAATTCACAACTCTGATGCCCGATTATCTAGCAATAAAAGAGAATTGTAAGAGCATGCGCAATGGACATCACTTCCCGGAATGGACTTAACGCCTACGAAATGGACATAATTATATTTTACAAGTTATCATTTTTATTACCTTATGTTTTTCCTATTTTATCGACATATTTTTGAAAATAATCTGGGGTCTACGAAATGGGGTTTTCGGCAACGAAATGTAGTTTTCGCTTACGGAATGGACATGTGCAATTAAGGTAATAAATAGTATCATTTTAACATACGATATAAAACAACAAACTTAACTATATGGCATTTACATAAAAATACACGGAACATAAATCGGAATATATCCACTAAGAAACATTAACAAATGAAAATGTTATGCCGTTAATGCAATTTGCATGTAAAGCGACCCGGCGGACGGTATAACTTTGAAATTTGACGTTAATGACGTCGCAAGCGCATTGTCTTTTACGGAGCAGCTGTTTACTCAATTACGAAGTAGGCCAATACATGTACCATTTTTACATGTTGTTAATTGCGTCTGATCCACTGCCTATATATAAATACTCTGTAAAAGTCGGTATCATACTGTATTGTAATAGACTGTATGATTTTAAATGAGCTCTTGTGATGACGCAAACTTACGTTCTTTCTTTCTGTAACTTAATTGCTGGAAAATCGCACACGCAATAAACCATTATATGTCTTATATTTATATAATTTTGCTGCATGAAAATGTATGATACATACGAGAAAATAAAAGAATCATACAACTAAGAACAAAATTGTCATAATCTAAAAAATAAATATAACGCATAACCAATTTCGAACGGGACTGTTAAATTAAAAAAAATCACCATAAGACCATATGGTAGAAAAGTGGAATGATTTACAAATTTCGGAGGGAAAAATACAGTACGAGTTAAAGGTCTTGTAGTAAATATTGTTTGATTAAAAAATACATAAAAAATGTTAGGTTATAACAGAGATATATGGAAGAGTACGAAATCATTGTTAAACGGTTAAAACCCTTCTTAAAATAACTGGAACACGTACAGTATCCTCTATATATTACACATCCATGACGCTTTTTCAACTCCGTATTTAAACGATATTGGACGGTTGTGCTCAAAAAGTGCGTGGACTTGTGACAGTCATTTTTAGCTTGGTTCATAAAAACGAACTTGGTTGATATGAATCGAAAGGATGTTTCTATTTCTAAAAGTGTGTTTTACTTTTATTGTCATCTTTTATTTCCTTCGCGAACAATGTGCACTTTAATAACCATGGGAACGCATTATTGGCACACGCCGATCTGCACATGCAACGTTTAAATATCAACCAATGTTAAATTAAATTGGACTGTAATTTCAGGTTGAAAATGTGGGATTAACCTTTATACATATTTAAAAAACATACTTATCACATAAACCGCGGCGCAGGAGTGTAATAAAGCCATTTAATAAAAACGATATTACACTAGTGTAATAACACTTTGACGTGACGTCATTTGCTCTATATAGAAACATAGCGGCTAGCTAATGTTGTACACTATACACGGAGCATATCCATATCGGTACCCTCTTTGCGAAATCTGCTTGAAAAACGGTACCCTCTTTGAACATGCACAGGTCATTCTCTGCTAAAAACAAACCAGCGATGGATAACAATCCAGTAAAATTTCATTGTAATAAGGAAAGGAGGTATGACATGTAGAAAAGATGTATACCACGAAACACTAGAACGTTTTATTTAACTGCTGATTTGTCATGTGCTCGATTTTCATGTACTACAACTAAACAATAACCTACAAAAAAATCGACATGTCTTGCCTTGCCCATCACCACGACATATTGTTCGGGCTGAAATGAACCTGTGGCTTGATTATATATGCATAATACATATTTAATATGTTCATATACATACCATCTTCGGACAAATGGCAGTATATTGTCAAAAATAATTGTAAAATTCATAAAAACACCCTTAACTTTAGGTTTTGCAGCGGCACGGGCTACCTCTCTTCATTTGAGTTTTTATATCACAGGTATCCTCTCATTTTTAACACAAAGGTACCCTCAAAGCGCGACATATGCTTTTATGTGCGTTAATCGCTAAGTATGTAATATGTACATAAAAGTAAGAAATGTTACATATATACTTAACGATTAACGCACATAAAAGCATATGTCGCGCTTTGAGGGTACCTATGTGTTTAAAAATGAGAGGGTACCTGTGATATAAAAATTCAAATGTTCCTCAAGTCTAGAAAGTTATTCCAGTTATTTCATATTAAAAACCCTAAGGGGAGTTTCTTTATAAGTTTATGATCAAACTCAAATTGTAATATACTTAAGGACAATGATATTATATGCATTTTATTACATGAAAACAAAACACAAACGACTCCATTAGATATATATCACAACTTCAATACAAAAAGCAAACTTAACAACTGAAAATAATTCAAAATGTTGATCTTATCACAATTGGCCAAAACTGTTACTTTTGATTTTTCGGGTGCTGTCTTTATCATGCAATAACTTCATTAAAATGCAATCATTTTTCATAACTTTGGTATCTAAATGACCGAAATGCATTCGGTTTTATGATACTGTGAAAAAATATTTAAAAGAAATATATTTTCCTTGTTAAAATGCAATTATCCCGACCGTGCGTTTTCATTGTCCTTAAGTATACATGTATTCAGTCTTGAACAAAAAATGCTGGTAGACAATAATATTTTTCAGATCGTTGGTTATTTTCTCCAAGGCAAAAACTGAAGGTTTTGACGCACAGTGGTTGTAAAACATCAAATACAGCCTTTATAATACTGCCCTCACACATACCTCGCGACCTTACTGCGTCCTTACTGCGACCTTGCTACGACCCAGGACGCAGCACAGTCGCCATGGACGCAGCAGGGATGCAGCGAGGTCGTAGCGAGGAACCCAAGGACGCACAAGGTCGCAGACCGTCGGCGACTATTTTGAACATGCACAAAACAGTTGCAGAAACTCTGCGTTCTTGCTGAGTCCTGGTTAGGTCGCCGTGGGATCGCAGTGGAGTCGCCATAGTCGCAGCAGCATCGTAGTAAGGACGCAATAAGGACGCAATAGACGTAGTACACTCGTACTAAGGACGCCGTAGAGTCACCGATGAAATTACAAGAAATTGCTCGGAAACCTTTGGCGACGCTGACTATGGACTTGACTTGACTGGACTTCATGAATATGTGGTTTCAGGAACTCAAACTTGGTCAGGATCCACTGGTCACGATCCGTTCGGTCACCTGTTCCAGCGCCAGACTTCGGCTTAGTCAGCTTTCCAAACCGTGTACGAATTGACCTGTACCATACAATAAGCATACTGACGTCTTTCCCAAGAACTTGTGCCTGTTCGGCCCAGAGAGCGTCCTTCTTGCATTTATCCTTGTAGGTGGATAGCTTTTTGTTGTAAATTTGCGGGTTTTCTCTCAACCACTCGACCATGGATTCTTCATCTTCAGCTGTGAGGTCACTTCTCATCATCAACCTGGACTTATTGACCTTTGAAGAACTGTAACACTGTTCACCACTGGTAGATTGAGTGTCCGACTCGGAGACTTGGTCTGATAGCGGTGCCGCTGTTTCAACAGACTGTGGACCACTAGAAGACTGTTTGTATGCGTCTCCGCCAGTGGATGAAGCCGCGATTTCTACACACTGTGAACCACTACCAAACTGCATATCTGAAGCGGCGACTGGGTCAACTTGTAGCACTTTAGAGACCCTCGCTCTTTTGCCTCGTCCGCCTCTCATCTTTGGAATAATATGGATGATTTAACTTAATACTAATTAAATATACGTCTTCACTCGTTGAAGGTCAGACTCAGAATGAAATTTACTGGTAAAAAGTATTGTTTTTATAGACGTAGCAAGAACGTAGTAGGGTCGTCGTACAGTCGCAGGACAGTCGCCGGACAAACGCAATAGTCGTCGTAGAGTCGCCGTAAGGACGCAGAGAACATAGCACAGTCGCAGCTGGGTCGCCGATGATTGCCGTGGGGTCGCCTTGGGGACGCAATACAGTCGCAGTGGAAACGCCATGGACGTAGAAGGGTCGTATTGAGGACATAGAGAAAACGTACTGAACACAAGACCGCAGAGCCCCGGACCGTCTGCGAGAGAAATTTGGAAATTTGAAAGAAAACCAACGATTTTCAAAAGAAAAATGCTATTTTACTAGTTTTCAGGTCGCAGTAAGGTCGTGGTTTATGTGTGAGGGCAGCATTAGCTAGCAGCTTCTGATGCAAATAAGGAAACTGGCCCAGCTTGAGGGTCACGTCTAAACGTCATTTTTACATATACAGTTTTAGTTTAGGAGCATTTACATTTACGGGTACTCTGCGCTTTATCTTGGCAAATACCCAACCAAAATATAATTATAAAAAAACATAACCTGAATCAGGAAAAGAAAATGCATGTAAAACCGTATCTTATAGGTTAGGAGGTATGGCCACATTGATGTATGATGTATAAATTCAAATTTCTGCTGGAGGAAAGTGATGTGACCGAGACGAAAGTTCTGATTTTCGTAACAAATGACTATTGTTTTGTATTAGCAATACAGAAAAAGAATTCACCAGACAGACCATTTAAAATCAGACACGAACATTTACACCTAATAATGTTTATATTTCTTTTAATTGTAAGTTTTTGGTTTGTTTCTTTTTTGTTGCTTTTTGTAAAAAGGCATACAAATAATCAATAAAACATATATTAAATAATTATACTTTGAAATAATTGTAAATTTAATACTTTTTTCAATTTTTAATATCAATCAGATGTACATGAAAAATGACACGTGACTGTTGCAAATGTAATTCCCTTTTTACTTTAATTGTAGTAATAAAGTCTCCGCAACAAAACTGGTCACTGCTGTCAGCGCCGTAGCTAAACAAAAATGTTTTAAGGACAATTCTAAGATGTGCTGACTTTTAATTAATAATTTTAAATTAATGTCTGACATAATATAATGTTACAGAATGTACTTCCATTTAAGTTGGTATATGCCCCCAGATCATCCTAGAAATGTGTCTCAGTGTTAGCATAAGTCTAGCAACAGCCCTGCAAGTTGCTTTAAGAAGGTCTTTATAACATTGAATACATTTATGGACAGATATTCACCGCTCTTTGAATGTGATACTACACTAGAACTTTAATAATGTTTGTATTCCCGCTTACTCTATCGCCTGTTCAATGAACATGTTCAGTGAATCTAGTTGGAAATAACATTTTATAAATGTACATTGTACATCAATAAATACCAAAAAAAAAAAGTTAATATTTTTCACTGAATGAGAAACGGAACAATTCTATCATTTGTCCGAAAACAATACGGTTCCCGAGATCTTGCTCCATTTTCCAGTGGTAATTCATAAACAGCAGTATATCAAAACGATGCATTATATTCACTTCTTTAAAGTAGACAGAGTTGTGGATGACGGCACATATTTTAGTTTCGAAATTTTGTTTCGAACCAACTTGAAGACCTTTCTAGTGCACAAGAAACTTACGGCTATGAAAACGCCCTGGAGTGTGTTAAATATAATAAATATGTACCACATGACAGTGTCATTGGTAAACGTTGCCAGAAAAGCAAAAACCCATGTCAGTCCCATCACAGCAGATAATTTAATATACAAGAAAAAAGAACAAAGGTTTCCATTATTGTTTGCCCTTGATCCTTGCTGTCGAGCTCTGGCTATAAAGCAAGAAGTGAAAATGAATCCTATTATATCAATAAACTTAAACAAAGCAAGTGGTCCGATAAAAAAGAGCATTAAGGCTTTCCTCGATGTTATCCAACATATTCCTTGTCCATATCCGGGTCTAAACTCGCTAAGTGTATCTAAACTTGACTCGTCTATACCAACTGCTGTGGCAACAATTATCATTGGTAGTAGCCATCCATAAACATTGTAGAGAAAAAACCTCTTTGATGTTTTATTTCCTCCAGTAACAATAAATGATCTAGAAAACGTAACCAATAAGTCAAAAGCGATCACGTTCATCCATGTGAATGATGAAGTGTAAAAATAGTGAACTATTATTGCCAAAGACTTGCACGTAATTGAATAAGCTGCAGCGTGGCTGATAAAAAGAAATGACGTTTGCGCTGATAAAAGTGAGATTATCAAACATATTAATATTTTCCCCGGAATGTTGCGAAGTTCTACAAACATACAGTAAATTATAAATGTAATCATTAATGCTGAGATAGATAAAATTAATCCACAGATCGTCACATAACTCTCTGCAGAATTAAAGGTAAAGACTTCCATGGATGCCAGCTGGTTTTCAAACGTGTCTGCACAAAGGTAAACGTCAGATCCGTTGACATAAAACATAGATGAGTTGAATATTTTATCCAAAGCCGGTACATAAATGCCTGACTCGTTTTCAGATTTCCATTCATTTGATTTCAATTTGATGAAAGTGCAGCTTGTAACATTTTCGTCACCCTGTGTTTTAAGCCCACGCTCTTCCGGTATACATCGCCAATTGATGATTATTGTCGTTGGTGGACAAAATATTTTTCTACAAGTTTTAGATATTGGGTCATATATTTGGTTATTCTTGCAATGAAATTCAATCTCTTTCCCGTTTCCAAAAGTGTTTAAATCAACTAGAACGCGAAAACTGTAGACTGGAGGCACAGGTGTCTGCTTGTCACCAGTATCAGATAATCCTGTATGGCACAGCAGCAAGTCTTCGTCCGCATTATTACACAGAGCGCAGTACTTATTTTTGTACTTAGTAAACTCATTAACATCGGCGGCTGACGTAAAAGTATATACAATATTGGTCGGGCTTAACTCACACATTCTGTTATGTTCGATGCTATTTTTAACCGAAGAACACGTGGAGACAAAATCAAACGTTCTACATGACTTGGCTAAAGAATGATTCCCTGGAGGATCGTAGAATAATTTGCACTGAGAGGTGTCATTTGGAGATATGCATCTTTCCTCTACAATCCAAAAATCAAAATCAAACTGAAAATTACAATAAGCACAGTACATATTTCTATAAATGAAGTTTTCATCGTCTGTCACAAAAACTTTTAAAACAATATTTGAATCCTGACTAATATTCTCACAGAGATCTTTTGAAATTGTGTCATTCCATTCCGACGAGCATTTAGTCACCACGTGGCTTTCAATGACTTTGAAACTTCTTAAAGTCAACAGCAAACAATCAAACTGATGCATACCGGGAACATTTTTGGATTTCATGATGGTTTTATTCACAACATTTTCACAACAATCATTAAAAATGGGACAGAGTGTGTCACAATGGCACGTTCTTCCCATTATTTCTATAACACCATCACAGCTTGTTCTCCAAACGCACTCATCCGAATTCAATCCATATCGAGTCACGATCGGAGGCGTAAATTCAAATTGGAAGTCGTAAAATAAATCTGGTGGTTCAGTCGTTGTTTTCCAAATTTCGTTTTTCCAGGTAAAGGATTTTGTTAACCCTGTGAAGCTATTTTCTGACAGATTTTTCATTACGTGCGTAGTTGTTTCATACATTAATCCTCCAGACAGACGAAATAATATTGCAAAATATACAACACAAACTGCTCTCAAAACTACGTTTATATCCATAGTGGACACTGGTTATTTATTTAGTTAAAACGTTCTTGTATTTGAAAATTTCCTTCGCATGTGTGAAGCTTGGTAAACCTTCTATAGAAAAGAAAGAGCATTGACTTTATGGTCAACCGCGCACTAATCCACTCTGATTTCTTACGCAACGTCAAACATTAAGAGTATAGAAATATTACAAAGTATTGTTGTTGCAGTTAATGTAAGCAAATTTATCATGTTCAATATATATGTTTATTGTAATCAATATCTACTCTTACCTAATAAACTAATACAAAAATGAAATTGATACAATTTACAATAATATTATCCAGTACTAATTCGCCGTTAACTTTTTGGTCAACAAGTACAACAGTAAATGAAGAAATATATTTGTTTGTAAGCTTATTTATATTAAGCCGCTTGCCGTCGGGTGATAGCAATTTTCGATAAAATGACACGGAATGAGATTTAGTTGGTTTAGGTTCAAATTACCCTTTAACCGATCTATTCTCATGTGAAGATACCATCACTTGTTCTGCATAATTAACTGTTTATGCAAATTCGAAGAGAAATTGTAAGATAGAAATTTATGACTATGCTAATAACAGAACAATGTATAAACGAAACTACAAAACACGTTACATAAACAAAAATGTTCTAAATCATGGAAAGATTTCTTTTTCATTTATGAAGTGATGATAATATGTTTTGTAAAAAATTACCCAATGACTGAATTAATCCATTGCAATTTAAATAACCGATTTGACCTTACACGGACCCTGACGGATAAAGCTGAAAATCACAGAGAAGTAGGAAGAGCGCATTTTGGTGTATTACATTAAATGATTTGAAATGATTATTTTCTTCTTAAATTTAACACCATGACATTTTTTTGCCAACTATACCCGAAGAATTCTTAATGAGAGATTATTCAAAGAACTATACTTTCTGGAAAAACGTTGATTCCTCGGGAGCAAAAAAATCACAACAAAATTATATGAAAATTGCAGACTTGCTTTGAACCATTAAACAAGCGTAAAAGCTCTCATAATATCAAATAAGCATAAAAGCTCTCCAAATATCAAATATTTAACAGTCACTGATAAATCATCCATAATGAGATATTGTAGATATATCATGGGTCAGAAGTAGCTCAGAGCTGATGGATCATGGCTGATAAAAGAAGAATAATTGGACGGACCCCTTCATTTTGAGCTGATCTGATAACGACTCCTTATCAATGTCGTTAAATTATTCATCGTACAGATCAGAATACATCAACTCGGGCATATCATAGACCTAATATCATATAAGAAATCAGTATTAGTATCATGTTAATGAAGTTGGACATTAAAATAAATCACATTTGTCAATTGAACCGCGATGCGAAATAATAAACATGACAATGGTTCAATTATAGTTCACAACAGATAAATTCAACATGGTCGATATAAAGTTTTCACGTTAAAAATGGGCATCTTAAAAGCATTGCTTTTCCAGTTGAGGCCTATTTTTGGTCCCAGTTGTAAGTAAAGTGATAGGGATGTAGCTGGAGAAGTGGGGTAAGGAATCTACAATTTGGGATATACATTTTATTTAATCTGTAAAGAATTTCAGCCATTTACAGAGGACCATCAACGAGAATTGTTTCGAGTTCCATTAACATGATATCTTGATTAACTCTTAACATGTTAGAACTGATTTTATTAACATTTGGAGCCGTTAATCCCGAACAATCATACACATATTATACATGTACATGCTTAAGTCATTATATTTTTGTCCCTATAATTATGTATATTCTGTTGTTTATCTATTTCTGATGGCCACATTGGAAATAAGAGACACGTACTTGCTGCTGTATATTCTTAATGTGTTACCTTCTCTAAATAAAGATATTATTGTTGTTATAATTATTAAAAACCGTGTAGACTCAAATGATGAATGGACAGTTCATAAAATGAGAGCTAGAACAGTCCAATTAAGAAATCAAGGAAATTAAGGTTTACATGGTTAAAAGCTAACTTATTTCTATTCTTATCTCAAGAGTAGTTCCATTCAGTTTAATCTTTATCAATATTTGAAGCAGATGCTGTTTACAACGTAGGTTACTGATAGCCCACTTAAACTTTCTTTTCTTTTCTACGACCTAGCAGCCGCCTTGTTCAGCACACAGGAACTTTTGTATAAGACCACTTATGGATCATTTCGTGTATTTACAACATAACTTGACAGGCAAAGGGGCTAAGGAGATGTTGTCCGATGGACAAAGGCCAATCATAAAACATCGCTTGAGCATGCTCAGAGCTTAAAAGCGGTAAAACAAAAACGTAAAATACTTTTTGATAAAACAATTTTAGAGAAACAAAAACGTAACAACCTATTTTGATAAACAATTTTATTCACATATAAATTACTTGTAAACTACAAATACATGTAAAACAGATAAAAAAAGCTATCACATTTCTAAAGAAGTTCACAAGAAAATGAACACACATAGTTCTCGTAGTAGAAGCCACCTTTACATTATTTTAAAATTATTTGATATCGGCATGGTTTTATTAATTTATATAAGCAAACAATTTTCAACATTTAATTCAACTATTGCACTTTGATATGTAAAGTCACCCTGTCAAAATTAAAACAAGAGGGCCATGATAGCCCTGAAGTCCCTCACCTGTATATAGGCCCCCGGAGCGGGGCCAGTTTAAACCTTAGGGCTTTTATTTGAACAAACTTAATAGACACCTATTAGAAGATGTTTCATGCTAAACATCTAAGGTCTAGCTGATCAAGTTTTTTCTTTACACATATAGTTAAAAACAATGACACATCTGGGGCAGGGCCAGTTTTGACCCAAGCGCTTTTATTTGAACAATCTTTGTAGACACTTACTAGAAAATGTTTCATGCTTTATATCTAAACTCTAGCTATTCGGGTTTTTTCAAAAAAGATTTTTAAGTTTTTGCTATACACATATAAGGAAAATCAATGTCCCCCGGGGCAGGGCCAATTTTGACCCCAAGGCTTTTATTTGAACAAACTTTGTAGACACTCACTAGAAGATGATTGGTGCTTAATATCTAAACTCTAGCTATTTGAGTTTTTTCAAAGAAGATTTTTTAAGTTTTTGTAATACACATATAAGGAAAATGAATGACCCCTGGGGCGGGGCCAATTTTGACCCCAGGGCTTTTATTTGAACAAACTTGGTAGACACTCACTAAAAAATGTTTCATGCTAAGTATCAAAACTCTAGCTATTTGGTTTTTTTCAAAGAAGATTTTTTAAGTTTTTGCTATACACATATAAGGAAAATCAATGACCCCTGGGGCAGGGCCAATTTTGACCCCAGGGCTCTTATTTGAATAAACTTGGTAGACACCCACTAGAAGATGTTTCATGCTAAATATCTTAGCTCTAGCTCTTTGGGTTCTTTAAAAGAAGATTTTTTAAGTTTTTACTATATGCATATAGGGAAAATCAATGACCCCCTGGGGCGGGGCCAATTTTGACCCCAGGGCTTTTATTTGAACAAACTTGGTAGACACTCACTAGAAGATGTTTCATGCCAAATATCTAAGCTCTAGCTCTTTGGGTTTTTTAGAAGAAGATATTAAAAGTTTTTTCTTTTGGTTGCCATGGCAACCAGAGTTCTGCATGGAAACAATTTTCAAAGATGACTACGAAAGGAACATTCCTGTGGTTTGGATGTGGTTTGGATGCAATTGGCTTGGTGGTTTATGAGATGTCATTTAAAGTAAAAGTTTACAGACGCCGGCCGGACGCCGGACGAAAAGCGATCACAAAAGCTCACCCTGTCACTTTGTGACAGGTGAGCTAAAAAGTGAAAGAAATTTAATACCACATATCAATTTTAAAGTCAATAAAAATGTGGCCTGCTTAAAAACAAAACTGATAAAAATATTTATTTGCAACAACTTCAAAACAATTAAAATTAACGATGCTTTCATGTTTAAGATTTTTTATAAAAACAGTAAATAAACAATAAACTGCTTACCTATTTTTTCTGTCTCCATCTTTGAAATAAAATTGATAGATACACTTACTCATAATATTATGGTAACAATAAGAATGTAATGTAATTTTATTTTTTTTTTAATGGTTTTAAATTAATCCCCGTCTGTTAATGATTGGCACTCAAGTACATGTATTCCAACATTCGACTTGCAGGATTTAAAAAAAAAAATCTACCTTCCAAAATAAACACCCAATAAATATTGAAAATTTAAATTGGCCCTACCAAATGTTTGCTTAAATGATTTTGATTCATTATAAAACTATGCAAACCAATCTACTGTCAAGACTTTGGTAAATCTGACTTTTACAGAAAGTATATACATGTTCAAACCTGTAGTCACATTGCTAACATGTGTAAATGCTTTAACACTTTCGGCAAAGAAATTAAAGAAAAAAAGAAAATTATAATAAAATTACATTATTAACTGTATGTAATATCTCAAATAACATTTATGAGAGCTTTTATATATAATTCATGTTAATATTTCTGGCAAAGCAACTCAAAACTTAATGTATGTAATAACTGATATACAGCCTTATTTCACTGATGTGAACAAAGCGTATAAAAGCGACAGATGAATTAACTACAACAACAACAACAAAAATATTATCTAAATTCAAACCAACAACTACAACTATTTTTATATCACAAAACAAATCAACACATACCATTAATACTATTTTGATTGTAAATTATTCTATGAGGAAGACAAAAACAAGTGTGAGAACACCTTCTACTAAGAAATTGAATAACTGATTCGAAGTATTGGCAGTGTAAAAACTAACTTTGTTATTATCATTGAACTCAAATCCATTTTATATGTATGGAATACTAAGGTCTCACTGGACCCACTGACAATTGACAGAAACTGTTATTTCCCCAAAATGGTACAATGTACATTTTTAAATGTACAATAAATCTAAAATAGGAACTTTACTGTTGATTTTTGCTCGTAGAAATTCACCAAATAGATGGTCACATACTTAAGCCTTCACTATTATTTTAAGTCCAGTGCTCTAGCGATTTCTGTTTTAGTGACAATTCTAACAGAATATGATAAATTCAGTTAAATTTAACTCATCAGTCATTGTTGGCATGAAAATCTGTCACAAAAAGACAACAAAAGATACCAACCAGATAAACAATTTTCAGTTAACAACTGTCATGTATTAAACATATAAAATACTTAAGAATAATAAACATAGTCACAGCACATGGATATTATTTTGTTCTTTATACATGCCCATGACATAAAAATCATGATCATCCAGAACTCATAATAATAATGTATAAGAAACATGGTGTAACACAACACTTCAGCTACAGCATGTGTAATATCTCACCTTAAACGATCACAATGAAACATAAAACTAATAATTGAGCCGCATCACGACAAAAAAAAACATAGTGCGTTTGCGACCAGCATGGATCCAGACCAGCCTTTGCATCCACGCAGTCTGATCAGGATCCATGCTGTTCGCTATCAGTTTCTACTTGTAATAGGGCTTGTAAGCAAACAGCATGGATCCTGATCAGACTGCAGTGATGCGCAGGCTGGTCTGGATCCATGCTGGTCGCAAACTTACAATGTTGGTTTTGTCGTGACGCGGCTCATATAATGTTCAATGTAGGACAAAATATCAAATGTTCAATGCCATGAAATGCTAAAAATCGTATCACAAGAACAGTTTCTAATAAAATCATAACACTAAACAATTAACAATTCTCTAGATAATGACATGTATACAAAACAAGAATAAAACATAATACAATTAAATGATTTAAATCTTGTAAAACATAACAAAAATACTAATAAAAATATCTTTACATTTCAAAACAATGTTTTTTTGTTTTTTTTTGTTTGATTCAGAATAGGAGAGAATCGGAAATATCCGTTCCAGTGACATACAGAAATTTAACAAGAATATAAACATGTGTTCTATAAATATCATTTCCAACAAATAACTCATTAAAAGATAATTCTACTGTTTATTCAAGCAGAATCCTTCTCTGTTTTTAAAAAGATTTAAACTCACATAACTAAGTTAATAGTCCTAAAAATATTTCTATTTCACTAAAAGTCTATTAAACTTCAATAATCCATTTCAAGCATTTTTAACACATTTGGAAAACATTTTAACATTTTCAAATCCAAAATATTCTTTCAGAGTCAATTTTTTCAACAAAGTTTATACCCACTAATGTTTGAATATATTTTTCACACTGGACGTTAATATTCATACATTGGCTAAACAAGTGTATCGGGAATATCTTTCCCATCAAAGTAGATGCACACTGATGATCTTGAATCTGATTTCTCGTCATCCTTCAATAATGAAGTAAACTCTGTCAAAGACTCGTCTGAAGAACATCGTGACGACATGTATGTTTGTTGAATTGGATCCAATTGTGCGCTACCTTTTGTTGGTATTTTACTTTCAGGTGGGGTGTCAGGTGAACTAAGAAAGGGATTGGTGTTTTTAACATTATAAGATGCAAATTTTGGAGCAGGTGTGTGAAAGGCTGATTGCTCACTCACCGGAAGATCATGTAAAAGTTTGCTTATAGCTCTTTGTTTGTTTGTTGGACTAAAAGGCCTAAGACGTTCTCTAGAGGTAAATGGTTTTGAGTAGGTTGGGCTAGTTGGACTTGTAGGACTGATTGTGTCTGTATCAATAGTGTACGACTTAACAAAGCGATTTGGGCGTGTAGGTATAGGTGGAGGGGCTAATGATGGTATTAATTCTTCAGTATTTGGTTTTGTATTGTTCTTATTGGTTGCTTTGGTTTCCTCAGGCATTGTAAACATGTGTATTCGAGATTGTACCAAGCTTTTTGGACTATGGTCCTTCTTGTCAGGAGAGGTGACGATAGGTTTAGGTTTATCATATGCTGGTGGACTGAATGGATTAGTTGGATTACTGTAATTAAACCCACTCGTTGGACTGTCTATAGGGACTAAAGGTGGTTGGTCATGAGAAGGTGGTAAATGGGCAGGTTTCCTCTTTCTGATACTGTATCTGAAATGAGATGGTTCTTCCTTCACTGATTGTGCACTTTGTGGAGGACTTTCTGCACCTAAGATACACCCGTAGCTCTCAATACCTTCACCAGAGCTGGCAAAGGGCTGTTCTCTTGGTGGGGGTGATAAAGGACCGTGGGCTGACCTTGGTGTACGAACAGGACTTGATGAAGGTGATCGGTCTTTCACTATCCTTGCACCTTGCCTTGCTATACGACCTCTAGCAGTACCCGACGGAGCGTGGATATCAGCGTGTGGGTCATCATGTGATTTTGATCTCTGTATGTAACGTGGTCGACTTGGCTATAGAGATAAGAAAAACACAAAACATTTAACACAGAACAGTAAAGATTACAATAAAACACAGTTTGCCTTATACATTACAATGTTTCTTCTTGCAGACACGCCATGCAAGTTTTAAATTGACAAAGTTAACCTGACAAAATCTAGTCAAATACATGATTTGGCAAATATCATTGATAAGATTCATGTGAAACATAAATCTGAAGAAAATTTTAATTTATATCTATAACTAGCGGAGAATAGAGTCAATACTTCTTGGCAAACCTGCCTATAATTAATGGTTTTGACCATCATGCTGAATTTACATAAATTTCAGTACAAGGTGTTTATTAACATACAATTTTTTTCCATTGCTGTGCAATGCAGTTTTCTTAAACACATTTGCAAGGTGTTTGTAGACATTTTATAAAGGTACACATGTAATATGATTAAAATCGCTTTGTTAAAAACATGTACAGTCAAAAATTATGTCAAATCACACAGTCATGTAGTTACAGAAATTCTGATTTTTCTGTTTGGGAAGTAAACCACTTCATAATGATAAGAATAGAAAAACATCAAAATCAAATAAAACATTAAAATATTAGTACATGTACTATACTAGACAACATAACACAATACAACTAAAGCAAACATAAATATGCACGGCAACATAACAATACATGTTTAACCATACATTGCAACACTACAGTTGGTCATTAATTTCACAATTTTGCATAATACCTTTATGTTCTTTTTTTCCCCAACATTACTGTACATTTATAATGATAAATCTTTTACCTAAATTTTCAAAGTTGCATCAGAGAAATGTCTTTTCAAATACCATACTTTCCTTGAAATTTCTTTCTCATTAAATAATTAAGGTAATAAACTGTTTAAATATCTTTGTTTCAAGTCATCTGACCTTTACACATTGTTATATGCTTTAATACATAAATATATAAATACCATAACATGATAAAATAAATATACATTGTAACTATCTTATCTTTCTGAACAAATTAGACAATAAATTTACATCAAAAAAAGATTATTCATTACCAATATCTTTATTTTTTTACATAATTATTCTACTGAAATGAGCTTAAAGCAGCAGTTACAACAAGTAAAACAATAATTTACTAACACTAATTCATTTAAATACCAATACAACATTGTGTGGGTTGTAAGTGAATAAATTGCACTACCATTAAAATCATGCCGTGATCATACAAGCATTGGTGTCTGTACTACAATTCATTACAAAAAGCTACAAAGAAACCGGCCACCAATTTCTTCATATACAACATGCTATCAAACTTGTTACATTGTCTGCGCACATTCTCTCAAATTTTAACAATGCAAAGGAATATAGCATTTGTATATAATTAAATATTATTCAAGGTATTAAAAACAAAGTAAATTGCTTTTCTGCTTCATTTTTTGTCCAAAGCAAACATAAATTAAACATAAAAAAAAAAATATTCAAGCTACCCATTCCAATTAAATGTTTTTAGCTAAACTATAATGATCATCCCAGTGATAGGTAATTGAATCAATAAATTTATCATTCAAGCTGCTATAAAAACTAGAAATGTGTTGTCATGCCACAGATGCCCCCTCATGCAGCCAAAATTTCAGACGTTATAATATTTACTTCCAAATTTGTTTGCACAAACTACTTTTTTCCTTTTAAGTTCAAATCTCTTAAAACTATTCAATGTTAACACAAACCATTTTTATACAAAGTTCAAGGCACTGAAACTATTCAGTGTTAACCTTTTGTAAATTGCATATTGCATATTTTTGCCAAAATAACGACTACATACATTTCCACAAAAGTATGAGTGCTGAAACTGAAATTCAAACATTCAAGACAGATAACTTTGTCCAAAATCATTGAACCATGCCCAAATTCAAACTTGAACTGCTTATTTCTAAAATGTATCTATATGACAAATTTGAATTGAATGTGTACGACCATTGGGGAGATAATGAACGGAAACTTAAAATTTCTGATTTTTTTCAAAGTTCAAGAGGGATAACTCTGTCAGCTGTTACCAAACCATGACCAAATTTGAACTTGACAAGTGTATTCTTATGACATGTCCATATTCTAAATTTGTGTTGAATATGTACAACTGTTGGGGAGATAATTAACAGAAACTGAAAATTTCCTTTTTTTCAAGGTAAAAGGGGCATTTCTCAAAAATCGACAAACAATGACCAAATTCGAACTTGAGCTAGGCATACCTTTGACGTATCCATATGTCAAATTTGAGTTGAATGTGTACAACTGTTGGGGAGATAATGAACGGAAACTAAAATTTCATATTATTTTTAAAGAGAAAAGGGCATAACTGTGCCAAAACTCATCGAACCATGACCAAATTCAAACTCGACCTGTGCATTTCTATGACGTATCCATATGTCAAATTTGAGTTCAATGTGTAATACCTTTAGGGAGATAATGAATGGAAACTGAAAATTTCATATTATTTTTAAAAGTGAAAGGGGCATAACTCTGCCAAAAATCATCAAACCATGACCAAATTGAACTTGACCTGCGCATTTCTTTGATGTATCCATATGTCAAATTTGAGCTGAATGTGTACAACTGTTGGGGAGATAATGAACAGAAATTGAAAATTTCATATTATTTTCCAAGTAACAGGGGCATAACTCTGCCAAAAATCTTTGAACCAAGACCAAATTCAAACCTGACCTGTGCATTCCTTTGACGTATCCATATGTCAAATTTGAGTTGAATGAGTAATACTGTTAGGGAGATAATGAACGGAAACTGAAAATTTTATCAAGGGGCATAACTCTATCAAAAATCATCAGACCATGACCAATTTCAAACTTGACCTATATTTTCTCATGATAAATCCATATGTCAAATTTGAGTTGAATGTGTACAACCGTTACTAAAATAATGAACGGAAACTGATGATGACGGAATGACAGAATGATGGCAGGACGGAATGACGGAACAGGGTAACACTATATGGCCCAGCCATTTTATGGCGGGGCATAAAAACTAAGCTACTATTTGATAGCAAGTAAAGCCTGTCCTTTTCTGTCTAGACAAATTTATACCATTCACAGGAAAATTTTGAAGTGTATGGGTGCCCATATAGTTAATTCTGGCAGTCAAGGTTAAAAAACGGTGCCTTGCATGTCTTCCATTCATGTACCGGTATTTGACTATATTTCAAGTATCAGGAAAATACATTTTTTGGTTTACAAGATATTGTCTGGTCAAAATAAACTTTTAATATTAAACAAAAGGAGCACTCCACTATTCTCTTTGCTTTGATAATAAAACAAGAACCTGGATGTTGTAAGAATTAACACAACAAGAATTAACAAGAGGGCCATGGTGGCCCTGAGGTCGCTCACCTCTATATAGGCCCCCGGAGCAGGGCCAGTTTAAATGCCAGGGCTTTTGTTTGAACAAACTTGGAATTAAGACACCCATTAGAAGATGTCTCATGATGTTAAGTTTTTACTACACACATATAATGAAAAACAATGATATCTCTACCCTCCCCCCCCCCAGGGCCAAATTTAACCAAAGGGCTTTTATTTGAACAAACTTGGTAGACACCCATAAGAAGATGTTTCATGCTAAACATCTAAGCTCTAGCTCATTGGGTTTTTTAAAAGAAGATTTTTTAAGTTTTTACTATACACATACAGTTAAAAACAATGACACCCCTGGGGCGGGGCCAGTTTGACCCCAGGGCTTTTATTTGAACAAACTTTGAAGACACTTACTAGAAGATGTTTCATGCTGATATCTAAACTCTAGCTCTTTGGTTTTTTTCAAAGAAGAATTTTAAGTTTTTGCTATACACTTTTAAAGAAAATCAATGACCCCCGGGGCGGGGCCAATTTTGACCCCAGGGCTTTTATTTGAACAAACTTGGTAGATACTTACTAGAAGATGTTTCATGCTTAATATCTAAACTCTAGCTATTTGGGTTTTTTCAAAGAAGCTTTTTTAAGTTTTTGCTATACACATATAAGGAAAATCAATGACCCCGGGGCAGGCCAATTATGACCCCAGGGCTTTTATTTTAACAATATGACCCCAAGGCTTTTATTTTAACAAACTTGGTAGACACCCATTAGAACATGTTTCAGGGGCCCATGTTTCATGCTAAATATCTTAGCTCTAGCTTCGTGAGTTCTTTAAGAGAAGATTTTTTAAGTTTTTGCTATACACATATAAGGAAAATCAATGACCCCGGGGCAGGCCAATTTTGACCCCAGGGCTTTTATTTGAACAAACTTGGTAGACACCCATTAGAACATGTTTCATGCTAAATATCTTAGCTCTAGCTTCGTGAGTTCTTAAAAAAGATTTTTTAAGTTTTTACTATATGCATATAGGGAAAATCAATGACCCCCTGGGGCAGGGCCAATTTTGACCCCAGGGCTTTTATTTGAACAAACTTGGTAGATACCCACTAGAAGATGTTTCATGCTAAATATTTTAGCTCTAGCTCTTTGGGTTCATTAAAAGAAGATTTTTTAAGTTTTTACTATGTGCATATAGGGAAAATCAATGACCCCTGGGGCGGGGCCAATTTTGACCCCAGGGCTTTTATTTGAACAAACTTGGTAGATACTCACTAGAAAATGTTTCATGCCAAATATCTAAGCTCGAGCTTATATAATTAGGGTTTTTTAATAGAAGATATTTAAAGTTTTTCTTTCGGTTGCCATGGCAACCAGAGTTCTGCATGGAATTAAATTCTTGAACAATTTTTAAAGGTGACCACCGCAGGAAATTCCTGTGAAGTTTGGATGAAATTGGCTCAGTGGTTTATGAGGAGATGTCATTTAAAGTAAAACTTTACGGACGGACGCCGGACGAAAAGCGATCACAAAAGCTCACCCTGTCACTTTGTGACAGGTGAGCTAAAAAAAAACAATGTTTCATTAAAAAATAATGACATTGTTATGAGTTTTGGATATTTCTTCATGGATAGTTAACTAAATTTGACAAAGTAGAGTTATAAAATATTGAACACTGCACTTATAGACACCATCTACACAGAGTAAGTTTTAAGTCAATTCTGTATAAAGTTTTAAGTCATGCTCTAAACAGGAAAAAAAAACAACAGATGGTGAATTCTATAATATCAACCTTTCAAAATTTGTTAAGCTGGGGAATAATAAAATACATTATTACCACTACTAAAACAAACAAATGTGCAACATCAAAAATCAAACAACAAGAAACTACAACCATTTCCCATAAAATATTGCCATATCAATCCAGTATGATAAACTGCATGGTTCTATAACACTGACAGTTAAATATAACTTCACAAAAAGTTGATACCTTACCAATGGATGTAAACAAACTTTACAATATCTACTCAAATTGAGAAAATAATTTAATAAGTGTCACTTAGAAAGAACCATACAATTTATTTTCTCTGGTCTAAATAAAAAAGCTACAATTCACCAACAAAAAGTGCAAAAACATCAAATGTGCAGTTCGAATTCAAACTTCGGCAAAGCGAAAAATACCTTTTTGGTATCTTCTTTAGTTTCATGTATTGTTTCAGAAGACTTGGCCATGCGAGCTGGGGAAGCAGATCTTGGTGTTTGGGTACCAGTCCCTGTTCTGTGAAGGCGCAGATTCTCTTTTTCCTTCATGCCTTTAGCTCTTAGCGTGTTGCTCCGTGTTGGTGAGCCTTCAGTACTGTTGCTCTCCGTGTCACTAGTATCATTCATACCTTGGCGTGTAATAAACCTCCGTACACTTGTTGGTTTGGTTTTGGTTCTCTTCATCTTGAATGTTTTCCTACTCTTGGCATCTTGTCTTTGAAGACGGTGTTCTCGTGGATTGAGATCCTGCCCTTCAATAATGTCTGGACCAACTGAAAATATAGTATCAATAATTATATCAAATGCAACATTGTATTCTGAAATGAGTGGCGGCATGGTCAAGTCGTTAATGTGTCAGACTAGTAAGCGACAGAATTGCTGGCTGCATGGGTTCAAACCCTGTCAGAGGCAAGCCATTGTTTCTGTGAGCAAGAAACTTTACACCCATTGCTAAGTACCGGTTGGTTCCAGGAATGGATTTGAGAGTGTTTCAAAAAGCTTATAGCTTCCAACACAATCAAACTAAAATATACTAGTATAAACTATTCTGAAAGAAACCAATTTGCAAATAAATTGATCATTCTTGCAAATAATCTTATTTCCATGTAGGTATTTATAAGTATTATTTTTATTTTGTAGAATAAATATTTGAATCATGAGATTAACATGTCGTAAGATTGCCTTTACATGCAGTTCTTATGTTAAATACTTAGTTATATGCTTTTTGCATGCCACATTTTTGAACTTCTATTGCAATCTTACATTTTAAGCTATTTCTTTCACATTATGATTTTGTGATGAATATTCTTTACCATACAAAATGATTTTATGTGACTTCATATGTTTCCAGTGATTCAAAACCTGTGTGTTGTTCCAAGTATGAATAAAAACAAAGGTCTTTCTTTGCCTTTAAAACAAAGGTCTTTCTTTGCCTTCTCTTCAGATTCATATTTTTAGCTATATTTAATCTGGACCTTTTTTCCCCAGTATATTTAATTATAAGTTAAGATAAAATTTTTTAGTTAGAAAATGCTGTTCAAACTGCAAGACAGAACATGTATGCTAAACATTAACCAAGAGTATTGTCAAAGTCATAGTGAAAATAATAACTTCTTATTTTCCATGAAGTCAAGCAGGGCATCCCTGACCGAATGGTTAAAGTCTTTGACTTCAAGCCACTTGATCCTCAATGCTGTTGGTTTGAATCCAACCGATACTTTTCTTTTATGTGTTAAAGCCACCTGCTAGCTTATTGAAGGTCAGTGGTTCTACTCACTTGAAATTATGTAAAGAGCGACACCTGATGTCTTGCTCCACTAGTAAAGCTGAGAAGTTGCCATATGACCTCTACTGTGTTGATGCTATGTAAAACAACCCAAAAAGAGCAACAAAAAATAAATTGTTGCTAAATATTTTACCTTCATTTTCATACTGTATTTCCGCATGGTGTTGTTCATCTATACTGTTCTGGTTCGACATGGGAGGTCTGAATACAATTGTTGGTTGACGTCCAAGCTTGTATGGTGATTCTGGTACTATCTGGTCTGTGAACAACATACAAACATAGACTCTTTATAAAAAATGTTGTCCTTTTTTGCTGTATAACAGATCTTAGAAATACCCATAATATGGTGCCAGAGGCCAAAAACTGATTTGAGACCATAATTACTAATTAGGTCTGTTATTTACGTGCTACCATTCATGAGGTCAGAAGAGAAAGAAAAAGTGAATGTAAATACACTTCCAAATACACCTGCTAGAAGTTGCAATTAGATCATATATGACAGATTTAAGAATTCTTTTAATCCAGGCATTGACTGACATGTAGTCTTATAACTTTACCATCAACAGAGATATCAAAATTATCTCGTAAATCTAGTATTAAAATAATATCTTTATAATGATTTTGAAATCTGACTGGATAACTACATTATAAGTAAGCTTCAGTAAACTGTATTCCTAGAAACTTTAGCGGAAACAATATTTCTCGTTTTTCATGAATGGCATTTCACAACACAAACTTAAGCAATCATAGCGACTGCAAATTGGTTACAATTATTGCAGATTTGTTCCACGCAACTTTTCCGTTGATACAAACATTCGCGGAAATGTATCTGCCGTGACAACGCAAATCTTTAAAAGCGCGAAATACAGTAACATTATTTAAAATTACCAGTAGGGGACAAGTCATCTTGTGTTGCTTTCTTGAACTTTTCTAGAATCCTTGTACCATCCTTAGCTGATATTCTTTGACCACTTGACAGTCTACGACCTGATGGGCTACCACTGTCAAAGCTAGAGGTCACCACTGTTGCTTTAAATGGTGCACTTGTATTAGAACTCCCCTGTGACAGAATTGTAGCTGAAAATATAAACAAACAGAATTCAAAAGTTTGTTGATAAGGACTTTGTAACTCGTTAAATCTTTACTCATTAATTGTAGGTACATAAATAATCTATACAAAACCCAGTAAAGCCATGGAAGAAATACTCAACTTACATAGACATCTACTGGATCAATCAAGAATACACAACAAAATTACTTTAATTTTGTATCAAAAATGTATAGATACCAAACAGATCAATCAGACACTACAGATACTAAGCCAAAAGAGAAGTTAAAACAGAATATAGTTTCCAACTTGAAATGTATTCATTATTTCATTATATCTGAGACATAATAAAATATTCTCTTGTTATTACAGACCTTTGCTTGCTCTTTTTCCTATAGTAGCTAGTGTAGGTCTAGGTGGTCCTATAATTTCTGTAGTGATTTCAGACATCTCTACTCTAGCTCTGTTTGTTGTTTGCGTCTGTGAGAAGTCAGACCTGTCTGTTACCATAGTAGCTGACCTAGACCGGTATTCTCCTACAAACGAACCAAATTGGAGATATCAAATTGCGAACAAAGCCCAAGGCATTCTCTTGTAACAAATATCTTAATATCTGAACATACAGAAGGGAAATTGGTTCCACTTTTAAGTCTTACTAGGCTGAAACCCAAAATGAGAATTTTTGCATCAGGATAAAGCCAGGCAAGTTTGCACATTGGCTCTATACTGTTTGTAGTTGTATTTTGATATTGAATTCTCTGTAACTTTAAATGGACTTTCTAAATTCAGCAGAAAATTATGCTTAAAATGTTATTTTATTACTATATCTTCTTTGTTACTGAAATGATTTTTAACTCTGGCCCTTATTAGATAGAATAAATTCTTTTCAGTTTTCATTTTTGTTTACTTAATTTTTCCTACAGCAACTCAATATTCATATTTCTCTTTCATTTATTTCCATGTAGTGTGGTGCAAAATAGATGAACATTTGAGATTTTAATTTTTAATTTCTTTAACTATAATTGATTTTTTACTTTTAATAATTTAAATTATCTTTCTTAACTTCTCAGTATTAAACCAGATGAGCTAGCTGTCTCATGTGAATAAACCTTGTTAAATAACTTCTTCGTTAAATTAAATGGTAACTTTATCTTTAACACCGGTATTGCTCTCACCTCCAGTGGCAACAAACTCCTCTTTGATGCTCTTCAATTCTAAGGCCAGCTCCACCAGAACAGAGCCTGTACATTTAGGATGGGTAAAGCTGTAACCTTGAAGTTTATCTTTGATTGTCTGTTGTATATAATACTCCTGAGCTGTGTCACAATTAACTCTCATCATCTACAATATATATTGAGAAATCTGTACTATTTAATGTACTATAATGCATCCCTGAATTGTTCAACCAATAAAATCATGTGAAACAGTGGTGATTTATAAATCGTAATACACATAATCATATATAATGGGGTGGATTAAATTTTTGTTTTTGTTTCCTCAGCCAATTGCATGTGTCTTCCTGATTGGGAAATCTTTAAGAATTGAAATTTGGGTAAAATGGGAAATAAACTAGTTGCAACAAGGGCCTTATTGTCGTGAAATCACGATCTTTATTTCTTTTGTTTTGTTATTTGTACAATAAAGTGTATTTTATGCATAGTGTGCATATGTCAACCAACATATACATGTATTTCTTTAATAGTGTTGATTTGTTTTTTTGTGCTTATACTGAATAGTTATACTAGGTATATACTCAATCGTAATATTTCATTTCAATCTTATGTAAGTCTTACGTAATTATTATATTATTATTATTTACGTATTATACTCACGTATTTGCTCCTTAGTCTTAGTTCATACTCCACATGAGGTCTTATGTAAGTAATTGTAATACATTAATACTCCACAGTAATAATTTCTTACTCCTCATTGTTTCTTATATAATTACAAATTCATGTTTATTTCATGTTTCATGGAATTCTCGAGTTTCTCATGGTCTTAAACATTTACTATATAAAGGTTAGGTTCAACTTGCTTTTGTTTGGACTTCAGTAACATCTTTCATTGGCGAAACAGATATGTTGGATATATAACTTAATTCTATTTGGAGTGTAATAATAGCATTTATTTGTGAATTAAATCTTATATGATATAAAATGTGAAAATTGGATTCAATCTCAGTGTTAATAAATGAAGTAAAATTATGATATGTTGTGATTTATTTCAAAAGTACAAAGTGATCTTAAATATCGGTGTGGCAAGGACAAAACAAGAAACAGCTTTCAGTCTTATATTCAGAGGATAAAAGTCCACCACACTTATTATAATTTTTTTAAAGAAGTTGGGAAATATTCAGACTCCATTTTTTAGAAAATAAATATGCATTTTCTGATATTATCAACAGGTCTATTTACCAGACTTATCTAAGGAAAAAGACAAAAAACTGTCATTAACACCCACAAAATTCAGCAGTGGAATAATTGCACTAAGTTAAGATCAGTTTAAACATTACTGTCTTACCTTGAACTGTATAAATGGTTGTAACATCAGGAAAACTGAAGGCCTGTGAGTCACAACAAAATCCAGGAATTTCCATAGAGGTAAGCAAACTGAAATTACAAAGCAATTTACTTTATTAAACAGGAGACCAGTATGTTTAAAGACAATATCAGAATAGATATCATCTGCTACAAAAGAAAAGGTATCAATTAAAATTTAAACCGGTTGTAAAGATAAATAAGGACTTTCTATTGTTCAGATTTTCTTTTTGCTACAAAGTTTACAAAAATAGAAAAAGAACTTTAAAAAATATTTTTTCAATGGTAACACACAATTTCTTTTTTTGAAACCTGTAATTTGTGAAATTTGAAGACTGAAAGTTAGGATGAAATTCATGAGTGACAAAAATTAATGGAAGAAGTATTTGCCACTTTAAACTTTATAATATTATCATTTCATCAAAACTTTTGCCAAGACAATACTTTGTTGATAAAAACATAAAGATAATGACTTATATGGGACTAAGACCACGGAGGATTTGTTCACTATTCAGGTATGATAAGCAGTCTATCTCCTATGCCTAATTATAAATAGGTGGAGCTTTTAGTTTTTGGATACCGAGGTTTACATCAAACCAGTGTAAAATGAATACAAAGTAATTGTTAAATTTAAGAGTTCAACTCACCTCTCAGCTGAGAGTTTTGTATGATGCATTTTGCCACCCTGTGCCATTCTGGGGATAATGGTTTATCAAAACAAGCCATTAGTATCTCTAGACCTGAAAGAAAGACATTTTAACTATTTGAACAATTATCTGCATTACAAATCTTTGTGATCTCCTAAATCTGATATATCATTGAGATTTTCTGAGTTTATTGCATTTTGATAAAAATTTTTATGTCTCTTGGTATTATATTTTAATATAAACAGGGAGACCAGGGTAAAAGTCAGCATAATCACATAGACTATATAAAAGTTGTTGTGATTGTTTTTTCTGGATTTAATGCCAATTTTATTTTTTTAAACATATTTTTAGTCAAATCTCAGTGGTTGATCAACCTAACCAGCTTTCCTGGATAACTAACCAGTAATTACCAATTTCTCCACAAGTGATCAACTACTAATCCAACATGATTTCTAAATCAGCGGTAAGAGACAAATGATCATTAAGCTCGATGTCGAGATCTATTGTCACAGATAAATTTTGCCTCACCCAAGGATCAACCCCTGAATTACAAATCCAATGCTCTAACTATTGAGTTTAGCTGGCAGATGACTTTTTAAAGACTTGCCTTGAAAGAGTATTGTGTTATTAACTTAAAATCCCTATGCAAAGTTACTTGTTCTGACATACAAATTTCCAAATGTTACAGAATTAATTGATAAAATAGTAATGCATGATAATTGAGAAGTAAATAAATGGTATGTACACTACAAAATCCACACAAATTTGTCTTCAACTCAATAACCTAATAAAAATAAATAACTTTCAAAACTTAATTTGATCTCTTTAATATTGTCACACAAATCTGACTAGAATATGAACGTCAATTTACCAAGATAAGCTGTGTGTATAAGCAGTTCATTGCCCTGGTATTTGATGTAATGTTTGTGACTATTATGACTCATGCTGCCGCAGCGACCGTGTTCCGAGATGGACAGATGATGCATCGCAGATTTGGTGCTGTTCTGACTACCGCTGGATGTCTTTGCTGGAGGACTCAATACATTGAGAATAACTTGGAGAGCAAAGTTTATGTCCACTTGTCTCAGCTTTGGTGTGTCTAAAAATATAAATGTATTTTACATAAATGTAATACATTTTACATAAATATTGGTAGAATTTTAAAGATAAGACATTTCAGGACGACATTTTTATTCTGACAAAAAAAATCATAGTTTACAGATGTGCTAATTTAACCCATTACGACATGAGCATTTTGTGAAAAATTTTCATTGAAAAGTCTCCTGTTACAAGTCCATATTGATATTGCTATAACTATATAAAAACTGCTTCAATACTGTTCAAACTTGGCACAAATGTTGACTAGACCATTGCCTTTGTAATGGCATGCTCAGTCTTACAATTCCAGTTACCATGGCAACGAGAGGACATCTCAAAATTGCCAAGAATCACTATTTTGTGTTGATTTTTTCCATCAATACTGATTTCAAAGTTTGGATTGAGATAATGTCAAAGGCTTTTCAGCATTGGTTACATATTTCCTTATGATCGACATGAGGTAATTTTTAGCCTCTCACAAGTCATGAATTTTCTTATAGATGAGGGGGGCGGCAAACCACTAAGCAGAAGGGGGCACTTGCCCCTCTGGCACCCCCCTGATGTATCCTTTTGATAGGGGGTGGCACCCAAAAAGTAATCAATTTTTTGAACACTATTTTTAAAACAAAAACAAGTTTTGGGGACCTAACTTATTTTAAATGATAAGATTCATAGAAATTGCATCTGTTGGAATTGTAAAAAGAAAGTGAAACAGTCAATGCACATACACATGTACTTTCTTAATGTCTTACACAAGAAATCATTTCAAGGCATTTATAAGAGTGCTGTGTAATTAAGCTATCAGAATTTTTATGAGATCAATACTAAAAGTTTTTGGGTCTGAACTTTGGGGTTCTATACGCAGACATATACAGTTATCAATCTGACCACTTACCTCTCCTGCCACATCCTACCCTTACACATAGTGGTAGTATAAAGTTAACAAGCATGTTAATACAACGTTCACTGGTAGGGAACACAGCTGTTCCCCCACATATCTGCTCCAATGAAAACTGCTCCTGAAAAGTAGTAATACAATATGAAATATAGAAACACAGCTTATTTCA